ACACACTTGCAGGCCCCCGCCCCCCTCACCCGTGGCGTGCGACTTGGTGGTCAGCTGCCCCGCCACCTCCTGCTTCAGGCGGCGCAGCACAAAGGGCCCCAGCAGCGCCTTCATGCGCTCAGTCAGCTTGGCAATCTCGTCGTCGTCGCCCTGCAGGCGAGACAGGGGTGCAGGAGGGGGGGGGCAGGAGGGGCGGGCAGGGCGTCGGCGCCGGCGCCAGCTCGGCAGGGCGAGCAAGCAGACTCAGGAGCAGCAGGCAAGGCGCATGGTCGCACTGGTGCCGGCGGCCGCCACGAAGGGCGGCAGAGCATGGGCACCGGGCACGCGCCGCCTGCGGCGGCGGCTGCGGTGGCAGCAGTGGCCAGCGGCGCGCCTGCAGCATGTCTGCCAGGTCCTCGAAGCCTTGCGCCGCAAACACCGAGGGCAGCAGGAAGTGCAGCAGGTTCTGCAGCTCCGCCAGGTCGTTCTGCAGCGGCGTGCCTGCAGGGGGAGGGGGGCGCGCGTGATGTGAGTGTGTGTGTGCGCGTGTGTGTGCGTGCGCGCGCGCGTGTGTGTGTATGCCGAAGAACAGGCGGGGCCGGCCAGGATGGAGCGAAGAACCGTGCGGGTGTGGCCGAGCAGCAGCATGACGCTGCCGGCGCGTGCCGCCGCCGCCGCCGCTCACCCGTCATCATGATGCGGCGGCGCGAGGCGTTGGAGACGCGGCGCAGGCGGGTGGTGCGCGACGCGTTCCTGTTCTTCAGAGCGTGAGCCTCATCCATGATCAGGTGGCTCCACCGCCACTTCTCCAAAAAGCCGCGGTCCAGGCGCTGCTCTGGGCTGCGCCAGGGCGGGTGGGTGCGGGGGCGTGCGGGACAGGCTGGGGCGCGGCCAGGTGGGACAGCCAAGAAGCACCCAGGCAGCCCCAGGCAGCCGGCACCACCCAGGCAGCCGCCCAGGCAGCTCCAGGCCCAGGCAAGGCGAGCTGCCTGCCAGCCTCCCCCCCCCAGCCATGCAGGCCCAGCGCCCCCTCCAGCACCTCCCCCC